TGTGTATGTGTGTCTGTATTTTAACAGGAAAAATAATTTTTTAGCCCTTTATATATTACTAGATACCATGTAAGGTGCTTGTTTAATGTCCACCAAAATCCATGAGGCATTATGATGCCCATTTTCAGAAGAGGCTGAGAATGCTTGGTAAATGGTAGAGTGAGGAAGCTCAGGACTGTTTGACCTTAAAGCCACACTTTTTCCACCACATATTTGCTCATGTACCATTCTGCTGGCATGAAGATACTAATGCAGATACCTAGGTGGAAATTAAATCAGATGCTGTATTTCTCTTTGCTGCTTTCTCCCCTTAAGGTTGGAGGGCCTGACCTTCAGAACAGTCAGTTCTGCCACGACGTGATGGATAGGTTCCTAAAAATCGTCACACTATGCCAGATTGCATAATGAGAAACACAGAACTTATGGAAAAGATGGGGCGAGCAGAACATTGTTCAAAAACTTAGTCAGTGACACTTAGAAAGATAGGGACTTAATAAAAAACGTTTTACACATTAAATGTAATTACTGATATACTACAATAAATATGGCGTAGTCCCTTGAGAAGGACCTTAAGGTTATTTGTAGAAGTGGGCCTCAGGAGGGTTGAGGCTTGTGTGTTATTGTGAAGTGATAGAATAAGGGTTATCTAAAATCAGAGGAAAGGTTGTAACACTAGATATGGGTAAGTGTGGCTAGTAACACACGTACTGAACTGAGGTGGCTGGAAGTTGTTTGAGGTGTATGTGTATTCCTATGTGGTTTGTTTGAGGTGAATACAAATTTTTGTGTTCACCGTATTTTCTGTGGATGCAATCACACTTACAAGCCAATGCAAAAGGGTTATATTCATATCATTCCCTAATGTAGTATCAACTGCACTGGAATGATTTTATGATTTGAAAATAAGCATTATAGGTAGAATTAAGTGAACATGGTCTTCTTCTCTCCTCCATCTGTACTTATTTCCCTTGTTGTTTCAACCAGTCTGTAAATACAATTTGTATGATTATATATTTATTCACTATTTGTATTTGGCCTTGAATACTATTTATATATTGATAACTTCCAAATATATGACATTAATCTTGGTCTCTCTCTCAAATTCCAGACTCATTTCTCCAGTTGCAACATTTTTAGGATATTTAATAGACATTTCAAACTGGGCATACTTTAAACTCTTTGATCTTTTACCCCAAATCTGTGACTAACTGATAGACAAGGAAAATCTCAAGCTCGCTTCATAGATGACTCTGCTTGCTATGTTGCTAGTTTCTGAAAGCAGGGTGCTGCCTCTCTAGTGCCCTGTTCGGGGATGTCTATGATGGACAGAGGGCAGAGCTGTACATAGTACACTTAGCCATTCATCTTATGTGGAGGGAGAATTGCCCTGAAGTGTAAAGGTACATTCACCCCTGAGCAGTGCTAATCGTGTAGCTGATTGGTCAGCACCTTGGAAGAATCAAGACTAGAGACAAGACATTTGCAGAAGAGGCGTGTGAGTAGACCACTGGGAGTCAGCACTAAGTATGAGGGGGCGTTTTCCAAAAGGCTCTCAAAACCAGGAAGTCAGGATGAGGCTCCATTACATATCCGCCAGACTCTATTTTGTCAGTACAGTGCCATTAACAGCAGGATGGCGGGAATCAGATTATGCATGGGTCTGACAGCGTGGGCTCCCTCTTACCCAGACTGATCTAGCAACTGCTGCTGCTGAATGTCCATACAACAAGCAGTAAGGAACACAGCTAAGCACTTTCCAGTAAAAGTGGTAGATTGATCCCAACCAGACTTTTTCACTCCAGAGGAGGCAGCAATTCACTCCTATTGGAATTAATACTTACTTTAGCTAATGATTTACCTTCCAAGTACCTTTCCTAACACCATCATCTGAAGGCTTAAAGAATCCCTGCTTTAAACACACGGAAACCTGCATCACATGGCCTAAAAGGGACTCATGTGAAGGAAGTGTGACAATGGGCCCAATGTCATAGGCTTCACCATATACCACATTACCTGAAGCAGCTGGCCTGTTACAACAGGTGAATGGCCTGTTGAAGAAGACTCAGCCAAGGTGCCAGACCAGGGACAGCTTCTTGCAGGGTTGGAATGTTGTCCTCCAGGATGCAGAATGTGCATTCAATGGGTAATACCTAGTTGTATCCCCAGTAATTGCAACATACAGGCTCGGGAAGCAAGAGGTAGAAGTGAGACCCCTGTCTCCATTACTTTTGGTGACCCATTGCCTGAATTTGTTTCCTGCTTTAGGCTCCACTGGATTAGAAGTTCTGGTCCAGGCAGTGGGGCTGGGGGCAGAACGTACCTGCAAGGAGACATACCGAGGGTTCCACTGAACTACTGTTGGGTTGTTTTGGGCTTCTCATGCCTGTGGACCAGAGGGCAAATAAAAGAGTTAGAATATTGCCCCAGGTGTGCTCGATCCTATTTATCATGGGGGCACCAGGGTGGCTGATGCTCAGTGAAACTCACAGGGTTTGCTGGAATATCTGGTGATTGCATGCTCATGCATAAGTGATTTGACTATTGCCTATTTGTAGACAGATACCAAATCTGTTCTCTTCAGCCCTAATGCCAGCACCAAAATGGCTCTATCTAATGCTGATTGGAGTTGTTTATGAGACATATGAAAAATAGAGAATGACATTGTATATCTTAAGACCTGTATTTTTACCTTTATTCAGTTTTAGTTTTTCCCCTGAATTATATATTTGCTAATATAAAAATAAAATTGAATCGAGAGACTTAGAATTTGAGAGTATGAAGACCTTATTCTAAAGGATATTCCAACTTCTGGCCTCATATGGTTTTTAAACATTATCTTAAAGTGTTTAGACCAAAATATTTCCCACTTGAAAAAAATACACATATATACACTACACATGTGTGTATATACCTGTATATATTTGATGAAAATACCAAAAAGATATTAAGCATGACATAAAATGCCCTCTTTGATCCAACTGTTGTTCCCACATTAGATATTTCTCAAGGTTCTCCCACTGGGCACTTTATGCCACCCCCAAAATGATATCACCAAATATGCTAGATTGCTTCTTGTGTCCATACCTTGAAAATTCTCTCTGATGTCATGTTTTGCCCTCTACCCTAACCCCTGCCCCCATTTGATCTGTCTGTGATGAACCCATCATAAAATTGCAAATTTGTTTTCCTCTTTAGACTTATGCTTATCCAGAGAAAAGACTATGCATTTTTTTAAATCTTTTATAACCATATCATCTATTACAGTAGCTGGCACATAGGAGGTATCCATCAATGAATTACATGTACAGTTAAGAGACTATAATTTTTCTTGCTTTATTAATCCCTATAAGGGAATGGGAGAAAACAAATGATTGTAAATACTTATTAGTAGTCAAAAATATATCCGGGGAAGTGTAGAGGCCTCCTTAGTCCATCTCTCTAAAAGAGAGGTAGGAAGAAAGTTATAGAATTAACTTCACAGTAAGAGTATTTCATGAAGCGTTGTAATTGTATCACTGAAGTGGATCACTACAGACCTATAAATAATTTCTGTCCAATTTCAGATTGCAGAGGAGGGATCCACCGTTTCTTGTGTGGTGGAGAGAACCAGAGGAGCTCTGGATTATGTGCACGTTTTTTACACCATCTCACAGATAGAATCTGACGGCATTAATTACCTTGTTGATGATTTTGCTAATGCCAGTGGAACTATCACATTTCTTCCTTGGCAGAGATCAGAGGTAAACCCGCCTTCTTTGTTTCTTTCAAAGCCTCCTGGAAAGCTTTTCCTGATGTGTTTGTTCTGTAATTTCTTTACAGCTTCTTGCTACGTAAGTAACTTAAAATATTTAGGAGATTAGGTATATATCTTGGTATAAAATATTTTTGTATTTGTTTATGCAAAAGAAAAATAAGAATTTTGAATCATATGTGCTAATAGTTTTATCTGTTCTTTAATCCCAACATAATAAAAATGATATATCACTGTGGGTTTTTATTTCTGATACAATAGGAAACCACAGAATTCTTAATGGTACTCTTCCAGTCAGCCAGTGAAAAATTCTCATAATTTCATTTTATTTGCATTATATTTGGAGAAATGTGATAATTTTTCTGTATTTAAAAAGTACAAGTGACCTCCAGTTTCATCGAAAGCTTTCCATGAAACATAATCTCATCTGAATAGATGCTCCATAAATAAATGACACTTCCCGTAAATGAAATTGGAATGAGGCTTCCTCCTATATCAGAATATTTAAATATTGATCATGTTGGAATATTCGTATCAGTATAATTTTTACATTAAAATGTAAATACTTTATAAGTCATCAGAGATACCTACTAAATTAACTTAGGTTTGCAAATAATGATAAATAATCTTTGAGGAAATTTTTGAGGGATTTAGGAGTTAATTGGTTGGAAAAAATTAAATTGAGGGAAGGTTTAAAATATTCTTAAGATTCAAAAAATAAAAACTAAGGGAAAGTGATCAAATCTCTATAATTTGGGGGAAGAAGGAAACAAAGTACAACAAAACTATACAAAAAAGTACAACAAAATTTCCTTGATAAGTAGTCTGCAGACAGGTCCATAATAAAGGTTTTACTAATATTTGGTAAAATGAGGAAATGAGAAAAATTAGGACAACTAGTAACTTTTCATAAAGCTAAACTTATTCCATTTACAAGACTGTATTTTATTCTGATGCTTTGTCATTTTTACTTCTTTCTTGGATTTAAAGTGTTCTTTCTTTTATCAAATAATTATGATAGTATGTGGTAATTTTTTTAATGCTCCTACTCGGCAAAACAGACTTGATACCCCAGATTTCCTCTTGAAAAATTTATCAACTATGAAATAAAAATATAACTGGAAACAATTATGTTATAAAATAAATTCATATACATCTTGAAAGAAATAAGAGTTAATCAAATTTGGTAAGTAAAACACTTGTAAATGTTCCAGTCAAGAATTATTTAAAATATTTTCTTGCCTAATTTTTAAATTTATTTTTCTTTTTACTTCAAGAATTATGACATGATTTGGGTAATAGGTGTCGTTTTTGCACATCTTCCATGCCGTATATTACTCCTTAACTTAAAATATGATTAAAATGAACATTAAAAACCAAATTTAGATTCCACCTCAGACTTACTGAATCAAAACCTCTTGAAAAACCACATTTTTAAAAACGAGTTCTCTAGGTGCTTTTAGGCCCAATGATCCTTGTTTTGGAGACTGCATTTGGATTTAGAGTTTGTTTCAGATTGTTGTCACTCTCCTTTCTGGGACAAGTCGGGAAGTCACCCTTCACTCCTATCACTCACGCTCCATGTTAAGTGAGTCATCAGGCCTGCATCTTCTATCTCCAGACAAATCTCAAATCCATCCATTTTTCCTTATCTCTTTTGTACTGTGTTAGTTCAGAATTCCATTATTTCTTGTCAGTCACCTCCTAACTTGTCCTCTTGCATTCTTTCTTGCTCTGTCTACTCCATTTGCATTCTGCCATGGTACTTATTCTAAAACAGAATTCTCATTTTGTCAATTCCCCACTTATGATTCTTCAATTTATCTCCACTCTCTATGGAAGGAAATCTAAATTTCATGTGATAGCATGAAATGTCCCCATGATCTGACTCCTGAGTATTCTTTCAGCCCTATCTCTTCCTCCAGCGTTAGTGATCTAACTGCAGTTCCCTGTATGCTCTATTCTTTCATGTCTCTGTGCCTTTGCTGTGTTTTGTCCTTTGCTTGTAATGTTCCTCCCCTTTATTATTTACAACTGTAACTAATCCACTAGAACTTGCTTCAAACATGTCTGTTGTAAAACTTACCAGGGAGGGTTAGTTGTTTCTTCATCACTTTTGTACACAACTCTATTATGACATTTTTACATTGCATTTAAAATGTTTTTTTATAGGTCTGTCTCCTACAATAGACTGTGTTAGGGATTGGGGCCAGCACATTGTATATGTCAAAACATGTTTGTTCAATTAATAAGGGAAGAAGAAATTGTGGGTTTTTTCTTAATTTGACTTTAAATTTTGACTTAAATTTTGTAGAGCATGGCTGAGTATTGCTACTTCCTTTCATAAGTGTTTTTGGACTAATTGTTTGTGCCAGACTTCTAAGGTCCATTGTGAATCTACCTTCTAAAATACTGTTACTGAATATGTCAGGATTTCCTTAGGCAGGCACTAGATATGTATACATTGCCCTTTCTTACTACTCTGTCGCATCTCAGAGAATATGCCTTTCCTTAATCGCGAAGTCTCTACCCTGAAGTTGGTAATACCATGGTCTTTGGTACAAAGAATAGTGATATTATACTGATAATGTTATATCAATATATCATATATGATATGATATTAATGCATATTTAGACAGAAAATGTTACTACTCAGCATGTGCTTTAGTTTCTTTGGACTGCTGTAACAAAATACCTTAGCCCGGATAATTTATAAATGACAGAAAGTTATTGCTCACAGCTCTGGAGGCTGGGAAGTCCAAGATCAAGGCACCTGTAGATTCCACTCTGCTTCATAAATATGGTGCCTTCTCAATGTGTCCTCACAGGGTGGAGGTGCAAACAAGCTTCCTCAGCGCTGATCCCATTTTTGAGGGCTCTGCCCTAATCACCTCCCCCAAACCCCACCTCTTAATATCATTACCTTGGGGATTAGATTTCAACATGTGAATTTTGGGGGACACAGACATTAAGAGCAAAGCAGCACCCATTATTGTTTGGGGACTTAATCTCCTTAGATTTCTCTTTCTCTCTTTCTGTTTGTATGCACACACACATACATATACACACACATACATGTTTTAATGTTTAAATTTGCGTAGAAATAAGTTATGTTAAATAGTAACTTCATTTAAATATAATTTAATTTTCCTCTGGTAAGTAATTTCTACATGCCTCTTTGCTTAGTGTCTCTGGATTTTTACATTTATAGGTCCTAAATCTGTATGTTCTTGATGATGATATTCCTGAACTTAATGAGTATTTCCGTGTGACATTGGTTTCTGCAATTCCTGGAGATGGGAAGCTAGGTTCAACTCCAACAAGTGGCGCAAGCATAGATCCTGAAAAGGAAACAACAGATATCACTATCAAAGCTAGTGATCATCCATATGGTAACCCACTCCTTTTGCAAGAATAATCCTCTCTTCTCTGGGTGTGCTTAGTTTTGTTAAGAACTTCTTATGGAACTCTTTGAAAATGATTGAAGTGGAACTGCGTCAGACCCTCTAAGTTCTAAACTCTTTAACTTCTAAGCTGCTATGTTGAGGGACATTGTTTATGAAAGAAAATATAAAGATCAATTTCTGAATTTGGATAATATATTTTGGAAAATTTTTTCAGGATTGTTTAAAATAGAAAAATATTTCCATTTATGGCTATCAAAATTTCTTTAATTTAAAAATTATTCTATGATGATTTGTTAACACCTAAGTAATTGAAGTACTTTGTAATTTATGTTTTATTAAGTTTCAAGAAATGAAGTTATCACTTTCTATTTATATAAATTTCTTTTTGTCTTATGCTAAAAATGATAATTTTCTTAATTGAGGAACTATCATAGATATCTGTACTAATAAATTGGAAATGTTTTCTGAATTGAAAGTAATAGTTTGTCTGTGGGAATAAATAAAGAACATCTGTTAAGGACCTGGGTAGAAAACCTGAGAGGCTCTTCAACTCTGGTTTTCATAGTTATATTTTTAAAAATATGTGTTCCAAATCCTTTAGAGTGCCATCAATCCTGTTCTACTGTAAGTTCAAGAATGATTGCTGGAGACTCTAGTAATATATGCACAAATGTTTGAAAAGTATATTTTAAAACTCCATCAGTATTCCTTTTATTGATGCTTCTGTAAGAAATAATAAAGCTTTCTTTGAGTAAAGACAAGGAAAATTAACAATTTAACTTTTAACATTCTAAAGCTTATAAACATATTCCATGTCAAAAACATGTTAATTGAATCTTCACTGAAGTCTTTTTAAATGAAGGCCCTCAGAATTTTAGCCCGGTGATCAAAATAAATGTGCAAGATTGCTCCAAATGAGTAAGAAATTCTTGCACAGATAATTGGGAGAAGAATGCCCTGTCTTCTTTGTCTCTGCTAGGCTTGCTGCAGTTCTCCACAGGGCTGCCTCCTCAGCCCGAGGACACAATGACTCTGCCCACAAGCAGCGTTCCACACATCACTGTGCAGGAGGAAGATGGAGAAGTCAGGTTATTGATTGTCCGTGCACAAGGACTCCTGGGGAGGGTGACTGCACAATTTAGAACAGTGTCTCTGTCAGCATTCAGTCCTGAGGACTACCAGGTAAGTCACTTAATCCTTTTGAAGCTGTGTTTGCACTTGTGAAACAGACATAATCATTCTCTTGGATTGGAAGGGACTTACACTGTACCTGGAATATAGTGAACAAGGAAAATAGGCACCGATGGCTTTCTGGCCTTTTAAATTTATGTAAAGTAATGTGGCTTCGTGCATTGAAACCTGACATTTAAATAGTTACTATACTGATTTTCTTTGTAGCTTATACATGTCATAATCTTCCCTTGTATTATTTGCTTTAATGTTACTATAGATTTTGATCAGATATATTGAAATTATGTTTCTTACATATTTTAAATCCTCTTATGTACATCCATTAACTGAAACCAAAATTGCAAAGAAATTAAGTGTCCATGTCTTTTCAAATTTAAATTGCTTTTTTTTTTCCAAGTGAGAAGCAGTGTGGTACTGAGGGGGTGGGTGGACAGGGGAAAGCAAGGGATTTGGAACTGGACAGAACTGAGTTTTAATCCGTCCTCCAGGTGTGTGAACTTGGGAGACTTGCTTAATCTTTCCTGACCTCAGTTTTCTTATCTGCAAAAGAGAGATAACATCTGCTGAGCAGGATCGCTGTAAGGATTGATGGAAACATTTTGTGTCTTGTAGTGAACACGCACATATATAACGGCACTCAGTAACTGCTACCTATCCTTATTATCACCAATACTGAAGCAAATGCTTGTGATTTCTTATCAATTCTTTTTAAGAAAGGTTTTACAGCTAATATCTCTGTTTTCCCAAAGAATCTTTTTTCTTCAAATTTAATATCAGCTTTCCTATTTTTCCCCTTCTTCCTAAAAAGACCCACACCACAGTACAGTGTTCAGTAATTTGTGCAAACTTTTCCTCCCAAACCCCAGAAAAGCTGGCTAATTGAATTTAATTAATTTCACCTATAGACCAGTTAGCTACGTTTTCCTGGATTTCTTCTTTCTCAGACTCTTTCTTGGGCAAGTTGTATTTTTCTTACCATTGACATTTGTTGTGTCTTTGACTAAGTTGGTATGTAACATATTCCACAAGACATCTCACCTTGTCTTAATGTTGTCTTCTCTGTGGTCTCTTAAAGAAATACTTCAGTCCTCATACTGATGGGCTTCAATTTCTAGGTAGTCTGAATATGTCCAGCCTCCAGTTGGATTATCATTTTCTTTAGTAACTAAAACAAAACAAAACAAAAACCCTGTGCCCCCATCCTTTATGACTATCAGAAAGTTTATACCCTTGGAGACATTTCTGTGAATTTTCAGGGGTGCTTAGATGTCCTGGTAATTACTTGTCACCACTTTTTGTCTTTGATAACCTGGTAACTTTTGCCTTCACCACTTCTCTGATGTTTTAGCTCTCTCAGATCTGTGTTAGCATAAAAGTAGGATTTATTAGGCTGTGTATGAGTATGTGAGTATGCAGGTGTTCGGGGGTGGGGGGAGAGGAGCAACCAGGAAGGATCATTTACGGAAGAGGAGAAAACTATCAGATATCACTGTTCTCAACCTTATTCTCATAGACCAAGTTAGAGGTGACCCCCACCATCCTGGTTCTTATATTCCAGCTGTTTGGGGTCATATTAAACAACTAATTACTGAGTTACAGTTGTGGGAAATGTTCAAGGTGGGTGACCTGGGAGAGAGGTGGATGTTGATGTAGGTGGGGTAGTCAGAGGCTTTCTGGCCTTTATGCTGGGCTTTAAATGTTTAAGGAGGAAAAAGTAGATAAAGCGGGGAAGAACTGTTTGGGACTGGTAAAATGGTGTGAGTAAACGGTCTCATGCAAGGGAGAGCACAGGCTGTCAGAGAAGTTGAAAGAAGGCCAGTGTCTCTGGAGTGTGGAGAGCTAGGTATGGTGATGAAAGAAAGATAAGGTATGCAAGGACTGGATCATTCAAGGCCTTAGAGATCATGCTACACTTCTGGATTTTTTTAAAAAAATAAACAAGGAGAAGTAATTGAAGGGTGTTATGCATTTACAAAAGATCACTAGGCTAAACTATGGAGAATGAATTAGAAGATATAGACACTGCGTGCAGAAAAACGGGTAAGGAGTCTATTTTGTGGAGCAAGGCAAGAAGAGACAGTATCTCGGACTAGGCTGATGCCAAGGTAGCCGAAAAGAAGTAAGTGGGCTCAAGAAATGTTTAGGAGTTAAAATGGCAGGATCCGAGGATTATTTAGTGTGAAGGATAAACCAGAAAGGGTGTCAAAAATGACTCCTTAGCTCCTAACATGAGCAACTTGTACTCTAAAATTTAGTGCTATGGAGAAGTTTGCATAAGGCACAGCTTTTAAGGAAAGATCGTGAATTTAAGATTGTGGCAGAAATTATTAAGAAAAATTTCAAATAGGCATTAAGATTTAAGTCTGAGTATCAGAGATTAGAGATACAAATTTGGGAGTGCGGAGCATATAAACAGTATTAAAAGTCTAGGGTATGATAGGCTTGTCTAGACAGAAAGTCTAGAGAGAGTCTGATGAACAACAATAGTTTTTAAAGGTCATAAGAAGAATGTTAAGATTGGTAAACACTGAAAAGGATCAACTAGGAAAAACAGGAGAGTGTGCTATCATGCAATAGCAGGGAAGAACATATTTCCAGAAGAGGAATGGCCGGTTGTATAGATATTGCTGAGTTCAAGTAAGATGGTTTCCTAAGACCGTCAAATGTCAGTTCTACTGTTAAGACTTGCAGGATTACGCCACTGACTACTAAACTCTAGGCAAAGTTAGTTACTTCTTCTTTGAGCTAACTATATGCCTTTTACAGCAATTATTATTCTGTTTAAATTGTTTTATTACATGTTTTATTACATTCTAGGCTTAAAACTCCTAGAATGTTCTCTATGGAGTCAAATATTTGTCTTGTCTGTTTTTGGGTCCCAAACATTTAAAACGATACCACATACATGCTGTGTGCTTATAAATATTGAAAAAGCTTATAAATATTGAAAAAGTGAATAAATGAGCGATTAAGTTAATTAGTATTTGGATTTCCTAATTTAGTTTTAAGATCATTAATAGCATCACGAGATGAAATATAGTGGCTCACACAAGCTAACACTAGAAAAATTTAAACAAATTTAAAATTTATTCTCATAACTTGAGTGGAAAATGCTTATATGAAATAATGGAAGAAAAATATCCTTAAGACTTTGATTTTTAATAACTTTGATTTCCTTAAGTATGTGAACTTTTCTGAAGGGAGAGCTATGTTATGAATTGCAACTGCAAGTATAATCAGGGAAAAATTAATGCCAAATGGACTGATATGTATTAATGCTTGGAGAGAGTCTCAGAATGAAAATGCCATTATTATTAAACACCAAATATTTAAATTTCCCAGTGTTATAATTTTAATATACTTGGTCAAGAGAATTGCTGGCATCTCATTGAATTCATTCTTTAGGAATTTGTGGATGTCACCCAGTAAGATATCTCATTTGCCTTGACTACTTTTTTGATGAATAGTCAAATAAAAAAAACAAATCATTTACTTCATTTATTTGGAGAATATGTATTTATAATTTACCTTGAACACTATTAATGTCCACCAAATTGTTTTCAGTTTTGTATTTTACTTATGTTCTTCTGTTTCAGTATTTATAACAATTTGGGACACAGCAAAACATTCTCATTGTATAAATTCACATATAGAATAATTAAAATCTAATAAGTAAATATTTTATTTGTATTTCAGAGTGTTGCTGGCACATTAGAATTTCAACCAGGAGAAAGATATAAATATATTTCTGTCAACATCACTGACAATTCTATCCCTGAACTGGAAAAATCTTTTAAAGTTGAGTTGTTAAACTTAGAAGGAGGAGGTAAGACTGGTGATTCAAAAATATCAAATACTGGCTTGTCCACCCACTGTGATGACAGTAGATTCTATTAGGGAAGTATGTTCCTTTGAATTAATCATACTTTTAAAAAATGAATGAATTACTAGTTTTTGGAGAGAGCAGCCTAAAGATTAATAATTGCTTTATATATATGATAATGTATATTAATATATATATGGTAATATAATATATGTCAATCACTTCTGATTGACAGTTCCTTTCTTGGTAAGAAGAAAATCCCATCTCTCTACATAAATTTTAAGTGATAATTTTATAAATTAATATTTAACTCATAGTTTTATTTAAATATACTTTTGCTCTGTGAGGTTTGGTTAATTCTGAGTAATATCTCTGTTTATTATATTGATACCACCTATTGTGCTTTTCCCCCCACTTTTATTACCCACTGATCTTTTCCTAAAGTAGACATGCTTTTAGAATGAAATAGTACACTTGTACTATATCACCAAATTATAGTTGTCATTCATAGTAGGTGCCCCTCAAATCACCTCTTCTTTTTCCTCCTTTTCCAACTTCTGTGGTATCTCTGTTATTACTATCTCCAGATAAACACAGGTTAAAAACTAGTCCTTTTGGATAACCTATTATGAGACAATTATCAATAAAAGAAATCAACACCTATAATCCTAGCTCTCTGGGAGGCCGAGGAGGGCGGATTGTTTGAGCTCAGGAGTTCGAAACCAGCCTGAGCAAGAGCGAGACCCCGTCTCTACTAAGAATAGAAAGAAATTAATTGGACAACTATAGAAAAAATTAGCCGGGTGTGGTGGCGCATGCCTGTAGTCCCAGCTACTCGGGAGGCTGAGGAGCCCAGGAGTTTGAGGTTGCTGTGAGCTAGGCTAACGCCACGGCACTCACTCTAGCCAGGGCAACAGAGTGAGACTCTGTCTCAAAAAAAAAAAAAAGAAGTCAACAGTACCCTATCCCCAATTCTGAGATTCAGAAAGCTCTGATTATCAAAGGTATTTGGAGTCAAAATTTGTTTCATTGCAAAACTCATCTTTATTAAGGGAGGCTATTTATAATATTTATCCCATGTATAAGTAGATGGACTAGTTATACATGTTTCTTTGCAGAAGTATTAATGTGTGTGATTATCCTGTGCTACTGGGAGTGTGATTGAATACATGTGATATGTACTATATCACCTTTATAAGAAATTGAGAGTCAGTATGGTATTTATCAGGACAGTCCCTTCCATTACAAAACCTGGTATTATCTTTACTATTATTATCTGTATCATTTTGCTGAAGAGAGTCATAGTATATAAGCCATCCAAAAGATAAATTGCTAGGCCAGAAATACTAAAATTATCTTTTTATATTAAGTGGGACTTTAGGGTAAATATGCAAAATTTTCCTTTCCTGTGTTCCAAGCTCAGGTGAAAGCAAAGGAGACCAAGCCAGAGTTCGGGAGCATGGAAATGATTAAACAGTGACCCAACTTAGTTGAATGCAAAAAAAAAAGCCAAAATATGCTAGATGGCCTGTCTGCCAGGTGGCAGGTAATAATACCAGCTTTGCTTGTCCTCCAGAGACAAGTCCTCACATCTCCAAATCATTATTTTCATGATAGTACTTCATTAATAAAAAGGTTACTTATAAAATATTTGAAAAGTTGCCCTTATATCTATTATAGCTAAAAATACTTATGTAATAGAAAGAGAAAATGTTAGTGATTACCTAATATTGATTAATAAAGGAATATCAAATATTCTTAAGATGATAGTGACACTTGTGATCATATGATCCCTTGTGATAAGAGTGATACTGGTGATTTTATTTAGAAACTTTTCTTCATATGTCTAGAATATGCATTGTTATATATTAATTCAGTACAAGTACTCAATTCAAAACCACTCTTACAGTTTCTTAGGATGCAATAGTGGCAAAGAATCTGATTTTTTCCCCATTGAGTTGGAATTGGAGGAAAAGGAATCTAGACAGTGATCTCCATTCCTGGACTCACGCATTGGGATTGTGTAATATGTAAAACATCTTGTAGAGCTAAATTCTGTTGTGGGTCAAAGGAATACCTGTTATTCCATACTGTTTTTTTCTATAAAACTGATTCTACATAAGTTAGCCACAACCTAGTAGATATTTTATGCTAGTCAAAGTATATATGGTGTTAAACTTTATACCTCTTTCTGATGACTTCTGGATAATATGGGAGCAAAGCCATGTACTGGATATTTGCTGGATATCCATTTTGCCTCTTAAGTCTCTAAGAAGATTTCAGGTTCTGTGTGCCATAAATTCTCATGTCTGGTACAGCCCAGTCCTTTTGAGGGGAAAAACAGAAGAGCAGGGCAGATCTTAAACTAGCATTCAATGAAGGATATTGGTAGAAGCACATATTTATAGGTGTAGCTTTGTTTTTTTTTTTCTCCTCCCTTTCCATTGCTATCATCACTGCCCTTCCTGTCTTTCTTATTTGCAAACATTTGGTAAAATAATGGTTGGCATGTAAGATGTATTGGAGGGGAAGGTATAACCACTTTGTCTATGTTATAGTCCTTATGTAGTCTCAAGGTACTTTATAATTTTACAGTATCATTTATTTTCCATTATTTTATTTGATCTTTACAACTCTCTTAGTCCCTTTTGTGCTGTTGTAACAGAGTACCACAGACTAGGTAATTTAGAAACAATACAAGTTTATTTGGCTCACAGTTCTGGAGGCTGGAAAGTCCATGACTGAGGGGCTGCATCTGGTGAGAGTGCTTCTTGCTATGTCATAACACGGTGGAAGCCTTCACATGGTGAGAGAGCGTGTGCAAGAGAATAATAGAGGGCCGAACTCACTTTTATAGGAAACCCACTCTCGCAATAATGAACCCACTCCCAAGATAACAACATTAATTCATTCATGAGGGCAGAGCTCTCATGACCCAATCACCTCTTAAAGTTTCCTGTTCTCAACTCCGTTGCACTGGGGTTTAAATTTCCAACGTGAACTTTGGGGGACACATTCAAACCACAGCAACGTTTTTATAAAAGGCAGCACCTTTTATAGGTGTGAAAGTCGAGATACCAAGAGGTTTAGTGACTTGGTGAAGGTTTTACAGCTGGTATCTGCCAAGGCTGAAGCAGAATTTTTAGACTGCTTGTCTAGGGCTCTTTCCACGATGTCAGTCACGAGAGGGTGATCAAGTTCGAAAAGGGTAAATGTGGTCGATATTTGAATGTGTGATGAAGGGAAATGTGACATGCGATTTTCTAATTTCCAGTTGGTTGTTGCGAGTGGTAAGGTGACTAGTACAGGCTATTGGTCTAAGTGTATGATTATATGTATATGCACATAAACATGTTTTAAATATCTAAAATGTTAGAAAACAATTTACATTGCTGTAAATTTTGAAAATTTAAAAATAATATTAAATTGGTGGAAATGAGAAATACCAATTACAATTTACATGCAGTATTCCCTGAAAATATGAATGAAATTTTGGTAATTTGATAGCTTGACTGGTGTTATAATTTTACCATTTAAAATGATCTGTTTCTTAAGGAAGAATGTATGTCATCGAGTGAATATTGTTACATTTTCCTATTTGCTTGGTATGTTTTAAGAGCTCTCAATTTTCTCATTGTGTCAATGTGTACTGTGTGGATTGTGTCTCTGTGTGTCTCCTTATGAAGTAGCTGAGCTCTTTAGGTTTGATGGCAGTGGTAGTGGTGATGGGGACATGGAATTCTTCCTTCCAGCTATTCACAAACGTGGTAAGCAGCTGTTCCAAGGTCCTTTTACTATTATACATTTTTATTTTAACTTCCCTTTTTAGAGACAGCAATACTAACCACTTATTGACACCTACTACGTGTAGGTCCTTTACATGTTTCATCTCATTGGCTATTACAGCAACTTCGTGAAGTATTATTTGCGTCATGTTATAGTCACCATGCTAGAAGGTGATCAAGTCAAAATTACATTCCTGTTTGCCTCTGAAACACGAGCTCTCCTCCTTCTATATAGGAACCTAATACTGTTTCCTGATTCTAATTGTGGTAGAAATTTTGCTTGAATGTCATTTATACAAATGATTGTTGAAAAACATTTTACGTACTTTTGAATACCTGAAATGAGATAAATAGAGCATTTGTATTTTCATGTTAAACGCATCATGCTTATTTTCTATACACAAAGAACTATGAGTCTTTATATGTAGCATTTAATCAAAATATATGGGAAAAAGAAATAAAGAAGAAAATAAATGGGGGAGAGTAGTTCCTAATTAATGGGGATAGTGAAAAGATGATGCCTTTTGAAGTACATTCATGTACTAACATGATTCCTCTTTTTATGTCAAATATTTTTTCCTATATGGAGAAAATACTTAGAATACCTATTTTTTGAAGGAGAACACTAATCCTCAAATGTCTTTTTTCACAGTGTCTGGATTTATATTTTAGTGCCAGAATTCATGTTCCCAGCCCCTCGTTCCTAATTTCCATCAATACCTCATGCAACCTGTGCATTTAATGACTCTATTACTGTTAGGATTGTTCATTTTCGTGTCTGTAGACATTAACATAATGTAAAAATTGAACATACTTCTTCTGAAAAATTAAATGCATCTTTAAATCTTAGCATCTTTTTAGTTACAGGATTACACTATTTTGGATCAGGAGAGACAGATCTATAATATCAAAACATGAAAAAAAATAGGCCTAGATTGACTAAAATCATAGGGAAACTACTTACTATTTCATGAAGATAAGAGTCATTTTGGCTCCTGTTCTTTTGAGGTCAGCAAAGGTCGTGGGAGACCTTCTTCATATACTCTGTGTGGAAGAATGTTCCTTTCATAAAGAGGAAAAAGAAAAACAAGTTTTCCTTATTCATCTCCAAGTGCTTATGCAGCACTTGTACATCACGTTGGTGCCAAAGTAGAGAAAGGTCATAAAAGCATGAATATGTGTGGCAACCATTTGTGTCTGCCTTTCTTTCTAAAACAAATTAGAATGTACTCAGTGAATGGAAGGTCTCTTTTCAAAAAGTTGTTCCTTGGCTTTCCCTTTGGTTTATAAATTACCGATTAACATTTTTTTTTTTTTTTTGCTATTTGTTGAAACTTGTTCATGCAGCCAGTCTAGGAGTGGCTTCTCAGATTCTAGTGACAATTGCAGCCTCTGACCATGCTCATGGAGTATTCGAATTTAGCCCTGAGTCACTCTTTGTCAGTGGAACTGAACCAGAAGATGGATACAGCACTGTTATAATCAATGTGAGTACCATTTTTTCTTAATTCCTAGACACTTTCTGTTCTTTTAAAAACTGTTGTGTTGTACTATGAAAGTATGTTTTATGTTTTCTTTTTTCTGTGTAGGTGGAGGAGAATGAGCCTATTGGCACAAGACAATACAAATTGATAATCAAATAGTGATTTGGCATTTGTCTTTGTGTTTAGTTTTGCATATGGATTCATTTTATTATTCTGAGAATTTCTGACCATTTAAGGAATATAATGGAGCTGTACTACAAGAATTTATCTTACATAGATTTTTTTTTTTTATTAGTTTAAATAGGCTGTGGTAACAAACATCTCCAAAATATCAATGACTTAACATAACAAAGATTTGTTTTTCACTCATGGTGTATGTCCAACTTAATTTGGCAAGGGACTCTGATTGCTAGCCACTTTAAGGACCAAGGATTAGAGAGGCTATATTACAACAAGTGCTTTTATCTTCATGGGGTGGGGGGAGAAATGTGGATGTGGAGAACTGCATACTGGCTCTTGTATTAATTAATAGCTTCCTTCTGGTTGTTATAGCTTTATGTTATTTTCACTTATACTTTCTTGGTCAAAGCAAGTCTCATGGCCATGCCTAATGTCAATAGGTGAAATTCAGTCCTATCCTGTCTCTATCCCAGAAGGAAAGAAAATCAAAAACACTCGGGAACAGCAATGATAGTAACACCTTTATATAACGTATGTGTGTATATGTGCCTACTCTGCTTTGTTCCAGTAGAAATTAAGAAGAATTCTGTTGCTTAGTGACTCAGAGGAGCTAGAAGCTTGCTCAGCTTCTTCAGATTTTATACAAGTAATAAAAAAAGATGACTCAAGCATATCCTTCTGTACTGTGATGACAGATCTTCAATAAACTGTTGTGGAATAAATTGAACAACTTTAGAAAAAATAACTCATTACTCAGGAAAGGAAAAAAAATTAAGGGAAAGGATCAAGTTACATAAAATAACTGTCTCTAATTTTATCTTGAATTCACATTTAACAACAAATAAAAATTCCTCTTAGTTGAGACTTTTTTGGACTAATTTTTAAGCATTTTATTCTTCTTAATATACTATCAACAAAGGCATTTCTTCCTCCTTAAATATATTATACCTTGGATCAAATATAATTTTTGGTGATTTTTCTTTATCATCTTATATTTTCAAAGATAAAAAGAAATATGATTTACTTTCAAAATGAGTTTTATTTCTAACTTTTCAGAAAAATATCATTTATTTCTTATAATGAAGTATACACCATTTTTGCAGTGAATGTAAAAATGTTCGTGAGTATGCTTAGATATAATACATTGTTAATTACATTTGATTTATTACTGTTATAATAATTGTACAAAAGATACAGCTATAATTTAGTTTGAAGCTAAAAATTTTCCATCAGTTTCATACAACAATCACTTTTTAAATATCCTCTATTTGTAAGATTCTCTGAGGGTCTTCAAACAGGGTAATATATAGACTCTGCCTTCAATAAGCCTATAATCTTGAGAACAACTTACATAAAATAAAATTAGTATTTATAATGCTGCTATCATTATATGTTTATAAAACTGTAAGTCATTGGTTTCAGTGTCTCTTTTAATACATTTTAGTATTAAATATTTTATAGGTTATGAGATGTCATGGAGCTCTATCTCAAGTGACTTTGTATTGGAACATAGACTCCGATCCTGATGGTGATCTCGCCTTTACCTCTGGCAACATCACATTTGAGATTGGGCAGACGAGTGCCAACATCACCGTGGAAATATTGCCTGACGAAGATCCAGAACTGGATAAGACATTCTCTGTGTCAATCCTCCTTGTCTCCCGTGGTTCTTTGGGAGTTCATACTAATGCCACATTAACAGTTTTGGCTAGTGATGATCCTTATGGGATATTCATCTTTTCTGAGAAAAACAGACCTATTCAAGTTGAGGAAGCAACCCAGAATGTCACACTGTCAATAATAAGATTGAAAGGCCTCATGGGAAAAGTCATAGTCTCATATGCAACTTTAGATGACATGGAAAAACCACCTTATTTTCCACCTAATTTAGCCAGAGCAACTCAAGGAAAAGACTATATATCAGCTTCTGGATTTGCTGTTTTTGGAGCTAATCAGAGTGAGGCAACAATCGCTATTTCAATTTTGGATGACGATGAACCAGAAAGGTCAGAGTCTGTGTTTATTGAACTACTCAACTCCACTTTAATAGAGAAAGTTCAGGATCGCCCAGGTAAGTATCTGTTAGTGTGTTATTATTATCATTAGCAATAAGAATGCCAAAATAATAAATTTAGAATTGGGTGTAATAGAAAATTCTATAAAAACAGTAAACTCTAACTTTGAAATCATCATCTGACGAAAGTATACCTGTAAAGGCAACTGAAAGCAGGACGCTTTTTCTTGGAAATCATGTTTTAAAAGTCATTTATATTTCCATACTAAATTTTAGAAGCTTATATGCAATCCATGTATAACTGACCTCTAGTACTATTGTACTATAAATTGTAGCTTTCAAAACATTCTGGAATCCATCTAGAAAGTCCGAGGACAGCCCTAGTAGCAAGAGCCTGGGGCTCTCTCATCTTGATTTACTTCTGGACGATCCCCTAGCCAACAGAAGATCTTTGTATTAGCAAGGTCATGTGGATCCGGCAAGTGTGTGAGGGAAGGGGGGAACAGAGCTGTGAAGCAGTAAGAAATCATGGAAATTTGTGAGGTTTGAGAAAAAGGCACTGATTGCATTAAGAATAAGGAATGAGGAGTGACTGATACTGGGCAGAGGATCTGGTACAGCAGGTTCTGCTGGAAAGTGGTGGCCACTCTCCTTGTTTGGCTTTGTAGAGGGAGTGGATTGAGTGCAGGTAGGTAGGGGGACTTGGGCTTGTGGAGCTGAAAGCAGCTATTGTATTACAGCTTGTTCATTGTTCATTGTTCACATTTTTCTAAGAAGATATATAACTCCAGACAGGTGTTTTTAAATAAAGAGAAGCATCTAGATTTCCTGGAATAAGGGAACAAATAAATGAACAAATATGGGTGATACTAATTTAATGTCAATTTTAAGACAATATGTTTAGGAAAACAAGTAAAACCTTGTTTAGGAAACTAGAATTACACAGCTTAAAATGTAAGATTCCAAGACCTGCATGTTGAGTATGTTCTGCCATGTGGATTAAGGCTTTTTACAAGTAAGTTTCTTCACCTTGCTGTAACACCTGGATGGATACACTGTATAGAGTGAGCAACATTCTTGCCCATAATGTAAGTAATTGTAGTCCAGGGTTATAGAAGGAAATTTACTTTATAAGATAATTGCTAACATTAAATCTTCAGATTATAGTGAAGATTAAAAATTATCACACAATACCCCTTCACTTCTTTTTAAAGCAAGATTTAGGATCAGTTATAATAGCAAAGAAATTAAAATAAAACCCAATAATTAGTCCTATTAAGTAAGAATTATAAAGCATGGCCTGGTTTTCAAGGAACTCATAATTTATTGAGATAGATACAAAACCATGAGAGAGTATCATATGTAACTGTGCCTGTTGGTATCAGATAACTTCTGTTTTAATGTGTAGTAATAGACTATTGGACACAATCTTTTTAAATCCCAGTTTCCTTATCTATAATATTAATATATAAATATTATGGGGATTAAATATGGTAATACTGTATATGTAAAACTTACACATACGGTATTACAGAATTACAAAGTTTACACACAGTGTCTGACACCTGGTAAGCAGTCAATAGATGTGAGCAATTACTATTAATAAAGCTGTATATGCAGAATATCTATGTGCCATGGGATGGAAGAAACAATCAACGTGTATTTTATGCTTGATATGTTCCTGGAACCATGCAACAGAATTGGGGCAATTCAGAATAGACATAAAACTATGATGGGATAATTAAAGAACAATTAAGTGTAAATTTGTGTGATACTGACTCAGATTTTAATAGGCAAAATCAGTATAGGACCTGATAGGGTCTTTGCTACTCAGAGTGGAATCATCAATTTTCATGATTAAGGAGAACAATGTGAGAAGACTGGTTGTTAGCAACTGGGTAAGGGGATAGGGCAGATGAACAGGCACGGATAACGGAAGGTTCTATGTCTGGTTTGGTGAGGAATTGTAGATGAGGAGTAGGAGATTAGGCAAACCCTTACAGGACGCCTCTTGTTTGTGTCCGCCATGTACCATATAAGAACTTAGCTAACTTCTGCAGTTTCTTTGGACCTCTTATTCCTCATCTATAGACAGTTTTCCCTACTGCATGAGATGGTGTGGGAATTAAATGACTTAATGCACAAAAAGCGCGTAGAACACTGCCTGGCTTGTAGTCCACACTCAAAAAATGTCACCTGCTGTTACGACTGTCTATGTTATTGACATTTTTTTCTAATTTATTTGAATTTAATTATATTATATTGATTTATAATTTATGATTTTAACTATGATATAATTTGGGATAGGCTGGGCCCATATTGAAATTAAATGGTGTCATTATGGTGTTTAGGTTAAATTTTCTGAAAATGTTAAATCTTACTCATAATCAAATACTTCCAAATACCATAATTGTTAGAGAGAGTGTTTTAAGTATGAACTCAAACTTTTTTTACCTCTGATAGGAGTTTGTTTATGTTTCATTTGTGTTAAAAGGTCACTTTTTGGCTGAGCACGGTGGCTCACACCTATAATCCTAGCTTTCTGGGAGGCCGAGGCGGGACGATAGCTGCAGCTCAGGGGTTCGACACCAGCCTGAGCACAGTGAGACCCTGTCTCTATCGCTAGAGACAAAAACAGAAAAAAAAGACAAAAAAAAAAAAATACACAAAACCACAAAACCCAGCTGGGTGCTGTGGCGCGCACCTGTAGTCCCAGCTACCCGAGAGGCTGAGGCAGGAGGATCACTCACAGCCTGGGACCTGGAGCTTGCGGTGACCCACAATCACTGCACTCTACCCAGGACACTGAGTGACACCCTGTCTCAACAACAACAACAACAACAACAACAACAAAACAGGGAAACTGATAGAGTGCCTGCTTAAAAAAAGCAAAAAAGGTGACTTTTTATATTGTTTTGGCAAGGTTGCTGGTTGGAATTAAACTGAGAAAATAAGTCAGGGAGAGTCTATGGAGGACCCTAAATGCCTTCACAATAAGTGTTGCTTTCTTTGAAATCAGTAGAAAGTAAGAAGGGAACTTCAAAATTATCAAACATACTCTATTATAGCAGGGTTGATGCAGCACTGAGGTGGACTGATTTCCAGATGAGAGTATCAGTCCGTTGGTGCTACTATAGCAAACTACCATAAACTGGGTGGCTTATAAACAACAGAAATTTATTTTTGACACTTGTGTTGGCTGGGAAGTGTCAAGATCCAGGTACTGGCAGATTTGATGTCTGGTGAGGGCTGGCTTCCTGGTTCACAGATAGTGCCTTCTTGCTGTGTCCTTACATAGTGGAAGGAGTAAGGGGCCTCTCTGTCTCAAGTCTCTTTTACATGGGCACTAATCCCTTGTATGCGGGCTCCACTCCCATAACCTGATCACCTCCCAAAGGCTCCACCTCTTAATACTGTCAGTTTAGGGCTTGGGATTTCAACACGTGAATTTAGGTGGAACACAAACATTCAGACCATAGCAACAAAGTAGTTTAGTGACTATTAACCTACATTGGGCAAGGAGGACAGGTTTGTTGCGGAAGACAGTGAAGCATTTAGAGAGGCAGTAATTTAGAGCAGTGGTCCCCAACCTTTTTGGCACTAGGGAACGGTTTCATGGAAGACAATTTTTCCATGGACTGGGGGTAGGGAGGGATGGTTTCGGAATGATTCAAGTGTGTTACGTTTATTGTGCAGTCAAACCTCTCTGCTGATAATAATCTGTATTTGCAGCCGCTCCCCAGTGCTAGCATCACTGCCTCAGCTCCACCTCAGATCATCAGGCATCAGATTCTCCAAAGGAGTGTGCAACCTAGATCCCTCACATGAGCAGTTTACAGTAGTGTTCACGCTCCTGTGAGAATCTAATGTCGCGGCTGATCTGACAGGAGGCGGAGCTTATGTGGAGCAATGGGGAGTGGCTGTAAACACAGATGAAGCTTTGCACCCTCGCCCGCCCGTTGCTCACCTCCTGCTGTGCTAACGGGCTCCTAACGGGCCAGGAGCCAGTACCAGTCCACAGCCTGGGGGTGGGGACCACTGATTCAGAGTATGATGATTTGTAGCTGGTCGTTGAGGTTGAGGAACTAAATTACTTTCCTACTCAATATTGTAATTGAAATGCTGTTTTATTTTAATGGCATGGTGGTGAACTGATTAGAAGAGCACACTTCTGTAGGTATCATCACTATCTGTTGTAATATTAGGTAAAGTGATGATTAATTATACTCTAATCATTTTTTCCTTTTCATAAATTTCCAGTACATATTATTTAATAAAATATTCTTTTAGGGTAACTGTTTCTTTGCTAGGGATTCTATAAAAAAAAAAAAAAAAATTTCCCTAGAATGTAAGCTATAGGAGAGCAGGGGCTTTCTGTTTAATTTATTTTTGTATCCCCAATGTCTAGATTAGTGTTGATACATATTAACCAATAAATATCTTTAAATATAAATAGTAAAGAGAAAACACCAAATGAGAGTCTTATTTGGCTGATGAAATCTTGCTGAGGCTTACTTCTTGATGACTTTTGGCCAGTTCTTAGAATTTCGATATATTAACTTTCTGTGTTCTATTTGGATCTTTTACCTTTCAGTTCCAAATTCTCCACGTCTAGGGCCTAAGATAGAAACTATTGCCCATCTAATTATCTTTGCCAATGATGATGCATTTGGAACTCTTCAGCTCTCAGCACCAATTGTTCGAGTGGCAGAAAATCATGTTGGACCCATTATCAATGTGACTAGAACAGGAGGAGCATTTGCAGATGTTTCTGTGAAGTTTAAAGCCGTGCCAGTAACTGCAATAGCTGGTAAGAAAAAATATCTAAGGAGCAGTACATGCAGATGGACATACATATGGAGGGAGATGTATCCTTGATGAACAAAGCTACCCAAAGATGGAATTAGAAAAATCAACTAAAAAACTAGAAATATCCTTGTGTCTTGTTAAAGGCACAAATCTAGAGCTCTCATACATTTCTGACACTGAATTTGTAGAATTTGTGAAAACCGTTGGCAAAATTATATGTGAGTTCAAATTCTGTGATGACCAGACTATGCACAAACCAATGAAAAGTAAACTAAGAAAATATTGGATTTCTCTGTGTGTACTTTTCATTTTTGAAAGGGATCCATGTGTAAATGGCTACTGAGGAATTCAAGGAAAAAGAGCATCCATATGCTTTCAGTGCTTGGCAACGGCATTGTCTCTGGACCCCCTTTATTATGCTTGTTTATTTATTCATGAAGAACGTGGAAGAGGCAATGGACAGCATTAGCTACTTTATGTTTAAGCAAAGGGATTTCATTACCAAATACAGACATTAGGAGCCTAACTACTTTGATAGTACAGTTCCAGCATCTAGAGGGAGATTTGCCTAAGAAATATTCAATTAGAATCTTTCTAGTGTGCACTCAAAGGAACGGGAGTGTGAATGGATGGAATACTATGCCTGATAAAAATAAATCATTTGGACATAATGCTTGAAAAGACTAAACCAGGCTCACCTACTACCTACGTGGGATGTGTGGGGGGGGCGTGCAAACATGTGCACGACCATTTGGGGGGCTGGGGTAACCCCTAGGAATGCCTGCCTGCCTCTAGGGAGCCTCACACCTTGACAGAAGTTAGGAATTGGTAGGTGATCTGAGAAATTAGCCCCCGGTCTCCACAGGAAGCATTCCACTTTCCCCACCCACTGTCTCACCAGAAACAAAGCTCCTGCCACCCTGAGCAGTTCTCAGTAGCATCTTTTAATCCAATTTGGTAGGAAAGTCTTTCATTTCTAGCTATATCACTGATGATACTAACATGGCCGTATATGTGCAACAGTATAATTTATCTTTCCAGTGAGAATTCTCGTTCTGTTCTTTGTTCTAGAAGTATTGCATACATTTTTTTTTTTTGTAGATAAGGGGCCATTTTGTGATACTGAATGTCTCTCTACTTATATATGTGTGTATATATATATGTGTAAATAGATCAAATAATGTACACATCTTTCTAAAAGTGAAAGAATGAACTTGGACATCCTTAGGAAGTCTTTTTCATTATTTTTTGATATTATCAAACCCATTTTTCCGGTGAAAGAGGAAAAAATATTCCTGTTTAGAAAAAAAGTCAGTATCCTCAGAAAATTATTTCCAAGGCTATCCTTATAGTTTGATACCTAAGAGTGTTTCCCTTGTATATGGAATGTTTATTATTATATTTTGGAATAAGTCTTAGCATTTTGCCCTTTGTCCCTGCAGGTGAAGATTACAGTATAGCTTCATCAGATGTGGTCTTGCTAGAAGGGGAAACCAGTAAAGCTGTGCCAATATATATCATTAATGACATCTACCCTGAGCTGGAAGAATCTTTTCTTGTGCAACTGCTGAATGAAACAACAGGAGGAGCCAAACTAGGGGCTTTAACAGAGGCAGTCATTATTATTGAGGCCTCTGATGACCCCTACGGATTATTTGGTATTCGGACTAGTTTGCATCTCTCTTTTACTTGTCTGTATAGATCATAGCTAATGACCTTTTCTTTATTTGTAGAAGCTCAGAATTGATTCGATCATGCTTTCTTTTTTAACGTGCTGTTACTGATATATAGGACACCTGTGTAGAGTCACTGGCAGTGATTAGTTATTTTAAAAAGAAAGCAAATTAGCCTTTTAGCATATATATGGAAAGTACAAACTATTGGCTTTGGGATCAGATCTGAATTCTAATGTGTTTTATAAGTCTTAGGCAATTCTTTAAAACATTAATTTAAATTACAGAAATTTACACAAAAATCTGGATTTTGGGGCTTTCTTGATCAATAGGAAAATCTGACAACATAGAGCTCTCTTTCCTGCATAGCATCAGTCCTAGGAGCAAAATAACAACTGCCCTTCTGGACCAGGCTTGCACTGCGCAGTTAGCCACAGTGCTCACTGGATCTACTTTACTTATGTCAGGTGTATACCTGACCCCTGCGAGCATCTGAGTTTATGAGTTCTGCTTCTATCACAGAGAAAAATAATTCAAAAATTTGGCAGGCCTGACCAATTTGTATCACGGCATGTTACTCTGGTTTTGTGGGGTATGGCCACTTGGATTACTTAGGGGGAAAAAGAATCCACTATAGGATGGCGCTTGGTTAGCTCTATGTTAACTTGGTTTCACTTTGTACTTGGAATTAACTCTGCTCTATTTACCTTTCAGGTTTTCAGATTACTAAACTTATTGTAGAGGAACCTGAGTTTAACTCAGTGAGGGTAAACCTGCCAATAATTCGAAATTCTGGGACACTCGGCAATGTTACTGTTCAGTGGGTTGCCACCATTAATGGACAGCTTGCTACTGGCGACCTGCGAGTTGTCTCAGGTAATGTGACCTTTGCCCCTGGGGAAACCATTCAAACCTTGTTGTTAGAGGTCCTGGCTGACGACGTTCCGGAGATTGAAGAGGTGAGAGGAATGGCTAGTATAGAATGACACTGTAGATCTGTAAATCATACCTTGTCTTATAGTGACTAGAACAGATGGCTGTTGTTGTGACACTTTGGAGAGGATGTCAAATAAATTATTTCTACAAGAATGTTCAAACTATGGTAGTGTGGAAGTGGTTCTTACAGTTGACAAAAGCAGGAATATTCTAGAAATAGATCATGTATATTTGCCAGTTTGCTAATATAGTGTAAGGTTTTTTTTGGTACAATTCCATTGTATTATTCAACATTTTGGTTAAGTGGTTGAATATATTTAATGTATACATCTGTCATAATTTTTACTACATTTGTTCCATATAAACTCTTAATTTGTATTTTACTCCTTTTTGGCTTGGATGTGAGCCAGTCAGTCTTAATTAAGTGCAGATTTTGGTTTTCCATTCGTTCACTTATTCTTCAACCATTGTTGAGAATTTAGTGTATGACTAATACCATGCTAAATACGTTTTCCTGATTTTTTTTTTACAATGAAGAAGCAAGGTGGCAAATAAAAATAGAGTCTCAATGGGAAAGTTGATTCATCACTAACATATATTGGCTGAAGATAATTTTATTTTATGAAATTCAAGTATTATTAAAGTCTAAATCTCATAAAATTACTTTAAACAGCATTTATTCCTTAATAGTATCAAATTTTTATAGAAGAGAAGTCCATAAAATTTTTTTGAATGCTAATCGTGTCATTTTTCACTTCTAAAATATTAGATTTTTATTAATACATATAAAATATTTCTCTTTCCTTTTCTCTAAATTTAAGTCACAATACATTATGATGTTTTCTGTTTTAAATTTTGTCAGAAAATTTTCTCTTTAAGATAATGTGGAAAATAAAGCATAATATATTAATTATTCAGTAAAGAGTATGCATGATATTTTCCCCAAACAAAAAAAGTATGAGACATAAAAGTCATATTATTGAAATGGTAAACATAAATAGGGATCTTAAAATTGATCCACATGATTATATAACTGAATATTAAGGAATTTAAATAGCCTATATTTCTTATGTATAATCACTCTCCATTATTAAAAGTTGACGATAGATTATTCTATGACATGCTGGATTTGTAAATGTAGTTGGGGGAGTTTCTTTGAGTCCATTTATATTTCATTCCATTTTGTTCATGTACTTGTATGTATATGTTTGATTTTTTTCCCCTGTATCATCCTTATTCTAATTTCAGAACTGTGATGCTGTTAAGGAAGTTTTCACTGTGTTTTTAGGTTATCCAAGTGCAACTAACTGATGCCTCTGATGGAGGTACTATTGGGTTAGATCGAGTGGCAAATATTATTATTCCTGCCAATGATAATCCTTATGGTACAGTGGCCTTTGTTCAGACGGTTTATCGAGTTCAAGAGCCTATGGAAGGAAGTTCCTGTGCTAACATAACTGTCAGGAGAAGGTATAGGAGATGACTGCTTGCATCTGTGGGAGTGATGGGAGTTGTGGGGTGGTGAGGAAGGATCCCTTGAACAATTAAACAATTTAGGTTTGGTGGTTTTTCCTTTTATAGGTTATTATAATGTGTTAATTAAATTACACTTATTAATATAAAAAGCCTGTCATATTTATCATACGTAGGTTAGTGAAATGGGGAATAGATTGTACATCATTGGACTTTCTAATCCCAGAAATTTATTGCTTTAACTTGTGATTTGTTAGAATTTAAATATAACTAGTTTCTAAATTAAAGAATACTCACATGCTGTTTGAAGTGGTTGATTTTCAGGTTTTGTTTTTCTTGCATTTCTTTTGTGAGGCAGAATAGTATTCACTGAGCTCTTTCAGAAGTAGAAAATATAGGATCTTGAGACCTTGTGGTAAATACATTTGTCCCTCTGATATCCATACGGGATTGATTGCAGAGGGTCCCCAGGGATATCAAAATTCTTGGATGCTTGAGTCCCCATATAAAATGGCATAAAATAAATGTGCATATAACCTATGTTCATCTTTGCATATACTTTAAATCATCTCTAGATTACTTATACTACTTAATACAATGTAAATGCTATGTATTATCTTTTATCGTTGTATTATTACTTTTTATTTTTTTCCCCAAATATTTTCCATCTGTGGTTGGTTGAATCCACAAGTGTGGAATCCATAGATATGGAGGGCCAACTGTACTTACATTTCCTCAAGATGTACTCATACTGTTATCATTGTTACTTTGTTTCAGTGCAATCTAGTAAAGAAAATTAATTTTGTAATTTTGTTTGGAAATTCTGAATTTGTATACCTTGGAAGATATTTTCATCTCTTGGCTAAAAATAAGTATTGTTTGATTGAAAACTAGCAAGGTTTCCTTACATGAGAAAACAAAACATTGAAAGACAATTGCAATTAAGAAACATGGCTGTGTTTGTACTAGTATTTTAACTTTAAAAAAAAAATCTGAAAGCCACAGTCAGCATTCCTATTCTCTATATGCAATAACTTTGAGTGCTTAACCTGTCTTTTAATTGTCACTCCACATTTTAGCGGAGGGCTGTTTGGTCGGCTGTTGTTGTTCTACAATACTTCCGATATCGATGTAGTGGCTCTTGCAATCGAGGAGGGTCAAGATTTACTGTCCTACTATGAATCGCCAGTACAAGGGGTGCCTGACCCACTCTGGAGAATGTGGGTGAATGTCTCTGCAGTGGGGGAACCCCAGTACACCTGTGCCACTTTGTGCCTCAAAGAACATGCTTGCTCAGCATTTTCATTTTCCAGTGCTTCTGAGGGTCCCCAGTGTTTTTGGATGACATCGTGGAGCAGCCCAGATGTCAACACTTCAAACTTCTGGACCTACAGGAAAAACATGACCAGGGTAGCATCTCTTTTTAGCAGTCAGGCTGTGGCTGGGAGTGACTACGAGCCTGTGACAAGGCAATGGACCATAATGCTGGAAGGTGATGAATTTGCAAATCTCACAGTTTCTATTCTTCCTGATGATTTCCCAGAGATGGATGAGAGTTTCCTAATTTCTCTCCTTGAAGTTCACCTCATGAACATCACAGCCAGTTTTCAAAATCAGCCAACCATAGGACAGCCAAATACTTCTACAGTTGTCATAGCACTAAATGGTGATGCCTTTGGAGTGTTTGTGATCTACAGTATTAGTCCCAATACCTCAGAAGATGGCTTATTTGTTGAAGTTCCAGAGCAGCCCCAAACCCTGGTGGAGCTGGTGATTCACAGGACAGGGGGCAGCTTAGGTCAGGTGACAGTTGAATGGCGTGTTGTTGGTGGAACAGCTACTGAAGGTTTAGATTTTATAGGTGCTGGAGACATTCTGACTTTTGCTGAAGGTAAGTGATGGTTCTAAATGAATTTCAGTCTCCTTCCCCCGTAAAGTTATTATAGTCAATTTTTATGATAAAGTTCATAAGCATTCTTACTTACTATATACATTCTTGCTAGTATGTAAAAGTGTAGTATGGCTTTGGAAAAAATGTAAGTTAGTTGGGTTGTAAATGGTTGACGTGACATATATACGCTGACATGACCCTACATGTATATCTTTTTAGTTTATTAAAAACAAAGATTTTCTGGGAATATGTGAATTGTGTATGTCTTTATGTGTGATAGCAAGTGCCTTTAAGGAAACATCAAGGCAACTATTAAGGTAAGTCCTAATTTTGTAAGTGAAATTATAAAAATGAGAAATGTACCTACAACTAAACGTGAGTAAGAGGCAGTGGTAGCTAGGAAAACGGGTATTCATTGGTAAGGATTTTCATATGCACTAGACAAATCAAAATATATCTTCAATGAAAATAATTTATAAGTAAAAATAGTGTAAACTTTGTTGACTGCATTTATATTAAATTAATCTTAGTGATAGATCAATTTATAATACCGTTCTTAGACTTGAATAGGATCACCATTGTAAATTTTCATAAACAATATTAATATAATGATATTTTTACATGGCCAACAAATTAGAATTGGCATCAGATTCACTGATTCTTTTTCAGAACTGGTTGAATCCTGTGATATTAAAAATTGGAAAAGTTCATATATTCAAAATAGATTTCTTTGGGTGTGGGAAAGATATCTTTACTGAAATCATTGTTTAAATTTTGATTTGGGCATTTATAGACTCCACAAAGTTTTTTTTAAAAGTGTTTTCTAACTGAAAAGTAATGTATACTCATAAAAACCTCAGGATATACACAAAATGAAGGAAATAAATGTTATTTATATCTTAGAGCAATCCATTATATCTGTTTAACTTTTTAATGCATACACTTTTTGAGGAAACTAATTAGGAGTTAGGGTACATACATAGTATGTTTGGAAACATCTAATAAGCATTATGTTTTAGAGTAAATTTCTATAATGGCTATTTCCTAGTTAATGATTTGGGGAATAGTGGAATAGTGGCATATGGTATGCTTGATGGAAGAGGGAGGCAGGTTGGTGGTAATTGGTAACATTTCTCTCTATTTCAAAGGGCATAATGAAAATGTAGTGAGGAGGGAGTGGAGATGAAAATTTTTCCAATGGCTTTGGGAAGGAACTACACAGAAAGTTATCATGTAAAGTAATAGTGTTATATAGTAACACTATGAATTGTAATTTTAGTATCACACAAATGGACTATTTCATAGCTAACCAAGATGCTTAGATAATGCATACTCTCTTGAGGCAATCTTGACACTACTGTATTAAGCAAAATGTGCCAGGGTCATGAAAGAGAGAATATGCATTTAATTTTCTTTCTCATTTTTCCTTCCTTTTCTTTTCTCACCCTTTCATCCTCTTTCCTGAAAGTAGGGAGAAATTAAATAGGAGACACCAAACACTGAACAAGCAGAAGTAGTGTTGGGTTTAGGGACATTTTGTGGTGCTCTATGTACTAGTGGGGTCCTAGATCAAATTGAAAAGTAGATTGTTTGGCCCTTGTGGCTGTCACTCGTCCCTTCAAATTCCCTTTTTTTTTTGCCTCCTTCCTTCATTGCATTACATCCTATAAACTGATACTTGATGCTGTCATCTCATCTAGTTACCCAAGATTCATTTCATTCAGGCTAGTTCTTTTGCTCATAATTTGCCATCCTTTTTCTGTTCCTTATTTTGACCACCATTTCCTAAGTATTCCTGTTTTTCAGTGTTGAATAACTGATTTAAATTATTCATAATAATGCCAGAGAAAGAGACTACCTTCTACTAAAGGTGCTATTTCTAAACAGAAGATGCTCTCTCAAAGCTCTTTGCCTAGCTAAGTCATTGTTCTTGGCTAGAGACCAGGAAATAAAGCTATGGTTCTTTGAAATAATTCTACCCTTTAACTTTTCCATAATTCAAAAGTCATTCCCCACAATCAGTCTAGATTAATGAAATTTTATAGTGTTTTGTATATGAGAGGATGTATAGATTAATATACAAAATTTGCTTACAGTGGTACTAATATTGCCCACAATATGGAACTATTACAATTCACTCACATATTTTTACTTAACTTTTAAAATGTAAGTTATTTTGGGCCTTTCTGAGTTATGTTGATGATTTTGTTACTTTTTCTTATTCCATTGATTTTCTATAGGTGAAACCAAAAAGACAGCCATTTTAACCATCTTGGATGATTTTGAACCAGAGGATGATGAAAGCATCATAGTTAGTTTGATATACACCGAAGGTGGAAGCAGAATTTTGCCCAGCTCTGACACTGTTAGAGTGAACATTTTGGCCAATGACAATGTGGCAGGAATTGTTAGCTTTCAAACAGCTTCCAGGTCTGTCATAGGTCATGAAGGTAGGTTCTGTTTTTTGTCGAGCATATTCATTCTCCTTTCTGTGGATGTCATTTTTTGTCTAGTCTTTTAAAGCTTCTGACTTTTTTTCCTTTCATTATTTTGCTGAGCTGTGTGTATTAATCTGCATAGAACTTCTTTGGGAGAGGACTGTATAGTGAGCTGTTTAACTAGATTTAAGAGCTGTGCAGACTGATAGTGTGTTCTAGCTTGCTACTCCCCACTGGTGTGATTTTTAAGGAAGTTAGTCCAACCTGAGATGCTCTGCTTTCTCATCTGTTACATGGCAGAAAAATATTACTTACTTCATAGATTTCTTTGTGAGGATTAAGTGAGCTAATAAATGTAAAGTGCATAGTTCCTGGCAAGTGTAGAATGTGCTCAATGGTAGCTGTTGATATTAAACAGTGAAACATTGGCACCTTATTAAAAATAAACAATTAATAATTTATAATCAGTAAATATTTTAGCCTGAATTTTATAATTTGTTTGTATATTTTATGAACAAAGTGCCAAACTAGAAAATCTTATAAAATGTCAAATTTTAAAAATTGAATCCTTATTTTATATTTCACATCATATGTAGGGTTTTGCATATATAGTCTAATTTTTATGTGTTTAAAACTTATAACAATGTTTTCTGTCTTTGAATAAGCCTATTTTCTGATAAAACAGGTATTTATAGCCTGTAATTTACCACAGAATTTGTACTTGGAATTTTAAAAAATAATTTTACCTTTAAGAGTTAAGAAATGAAAAGGATATAGATCATTTATTTGGACCTCTAGTTTACAGATGAGAAAACGAAACTGAAATACAGATTAGAAGACTTGACTAGGTCTGGCTGTTAATAGCTGTGCTGGAAACGGAATGTATTTTGGTGTGTATTGTCTTTCCCGTTACTGTACTCCCAACTTGCAAGTTTATTTAACTTATCAATGCAAATATTTGAGACATTTTTCAACACTCTTTACTTTTATTAGTGGTTTAGAATCGCATGTTGTCGTAGCAGTAATGAGTGAAAGTGACTAACAAATTGCCGTAGTCTGACATAAAGACAAATCATCAACTATCAAAAAATTATTTGTAACAGTAGAAATAAAAAGTCACTGGTGGAGTAGTTAATCTTCATAATAATGACAACAGTGACAACATTTATGGAGTGTTTTCTGTGTGCCAGACACTCCACATCCATTATTTCACTTAATTTTAGCAGCAGTCCTATGAGTGGGTATAATAGTATACACCAGATTTTCACGTAAGGAAACTTTATTTGAGAGAGAGTGAATAGCACACAGTTATTCAGTGGTGGGCCTTAGTCCCAGCTGTGTTGAATCCACAGCCCATGCTCCACAGCACATTGTGAAGAGAGTTTGTTTTGCTTAAACTTGTGTCTGCTGCAGAACCTGACAACGCAGGAAATATCTGAAGTGATTTGAGTTGGAAGAACAATGAATTTGAGTAGCAATGTCTATGTGAGAGAAGGAAATTAGTGAAAGAACCTGACTCTATCTCAGGATAAAGATGGAAATTGGATTTTCAGAGATAATAGTTGAAATCAGGAAAATGAATATAATCTTTGTGGACAGAAGAGGAAAAGCAACTTATTAAGAGCAAGCCATTTGGAACACTAGGCTAAGGTGCTGGGAAAGGAAAAAGAGGAGAAAGAGAAGCCTCTGCCAGAGAGGTGGGGAGAGATGGAGGAGAGAGTGCATTTTCATCAGTTACCAGAAGCAAGTAATCACTGTGTCTCATACCAACAAGGCCAACAAGTGGAATTAGAATCCCAAAGGGGCCAGAGGAAACAGTAGCAATGGTAGAGGAATTTTGAAGGAGAATTAGGAATGGGAAGCAAATATCTAGGGATTACAAAAGGACCGAGAGGCCTTCAGGGATTGCTTTTCAGAGTGTGGTCCTCAGGAGGCTGCCCTTACACAGAGTGTTTGCTACTGGTGTGTGCCAGGAAGATTAGAAACCTTTATAACAATTTCACCTTGCTGTGATATCCAAAAGCAGTATCTCTGGGCTTCTGTTCTGTATGTGTTCTTTTTGCTGTTTAACTTGCCTGGTCATTTGATTTATTGTGTTTTACAAGAAGGTCAGTCTGTGATGGATTAAGGAAAACAAAACAAACAAAAGCCTTGTCCTTCATGGCAAAACATTTCGAGAAGCATTGCTCATTGGATATGACAGCAAGGAAAGGAGAAGCATTGGATGAAAGAGAAGTATTTTGGATTTGTTTTTGTTTTCCTGAAGAAATACAAGAAGGAAAATCATGGAGAAGAAAGAGAATCCAAGTGTTAGTGGTATGGAGGATATAAATAAGATCAGGGACCAGGAAAGGTTAGATGAGATTTAAGGAGAAACTTAGAGATAGACTAGGCATGTGCTTTTCAGCAATATTATGGAACTTCTTTTTTAAAGAATACAAAAGAATCTGGATGTCCAGGATCAATTTAAAGAGATTTTAACTGTAAGGCAACTAGTGTCTTGGGAGTGCATCCTATGAGAGTTTGGATGGTGTTATTGGTGGGTTGGAGGGCTCTGAAGGCACCAGTGCCCTCCTGCTGGGTACCACAGCATCTTCGAGAAACTACAGACACAAGCACCCACATTCTCTTTGCCCTGGACGAACTTCACCTGAAAACTACATTGTGGCCTCTTCAGTTTCCGATAGCTTAAATATTTGCAGGAGATGCAAAGAGGAAAAAAGGATTAGTAATTAAATCAAATGATCCAAGGGTGTTATTGGTTAAAAATCTGCTTTAGCCTATCAATCTATGAGCATGAATTTGGTACAGGAAATAAAACACCAAATTGATTTTATTGCTAGCATAAATGCTCCCTAGATTTTTTTACATACAGAAATATGTATCATGGTGAGTTTACCAAAGTAAATTAATGAAAATTTCATGCTGATTCTTCAAAGATAACTGCTAAACAAATGAGATAAAAGTAGTCATGCCATGTGGGCTTTTAACAGTGTTAACATTGCTTTTGGCCTAGTGTTGGAGTTTCATTTATGTGATTAGATTTAAAACATGGACTATGCTGAACTTCTGGATCTGGAATGCATTTTTGGTTCATGGGGAGGAATTGCCTTAGTCTTTAACAATGTATTGAATTCTGTAGAATCCTATTTCTACATGTTGTCCTAATGCAATTGGAGAGATGCCCAGTGGTAAATATTACTTTCTTTCAAATGTAATGGACAGAATTTAGAAATATGGGACAATGGATTTCACTGTGGCTGCACATTGAGTATAAATGTGCTTTTTTAAAATCTGTGCTAGATGTTTCAATCGGTCACCCAGCTCAGCAGCATCATAATCATCATGTCGTATTCAATGGATTTGCAATTTTTCCTTTTCTTAGAGATGGTATGAATCTTTTCCACACAAAGATTTGAACAAGAAATGTGATTCTTTAAAAAGACACATAGAACTGCTATATTAGAAACATTCAACTTTTTTCTTAACTGTTCGTCTTGGCAGTCTGTGCTTCACATTATTCATATTCTTATACTTGTTATTAATGTATTTTATTTTTGTTATTATAGGAAGCAATCAATTTGGATAGTATATGTATGACATATATACATGTGTCTATTAAAATATGTTTTCTGTATTTTGGTTTTCCATTATCTTTATACACATTGTAGTTGGTATTTGCAACTGTTTATCTTTGTAAAAAAATTCTGGTTTGGGGGATAAGTGGATAAAGCACTCGGGTTTATTAAACGGGCCTAGATATTATATGATTGATCTGCTTTAGAGTGAAAACGTGTCACCAATTTTTGTTGGACTCTGTGGATTTTATATCAAGATGATCTTCTAGTAATGCAGTCAGACACTTTGGTAGGCGAGGTCTTTCATCCTGGGCAAAAACTAGAAGGCAGTTTACTACCTAGTAAAATGTTTG